AAAAACCATGTATAAAAAAAAGGTTTATGAAATCACAAGAAGGAAGACATGAGAATCATGTAAAAAGTTTTCAAATGAAAACAAATCAACCAAAAGAAATCATAAATCAAAGTTTAAATCCAAAAACGATGTTTGATCAATCAAGAAAATTTTCTTTGTGGGATTTGATCAAACCACGTATGGAATACATTATAAGGCACGAATAGATGATCCATAAGCACAAACACATAAATATCATCATATAAGTGAAATATAATGAATTCAAAGTAATAATTCAAAACAAAATCTTTGATAAAAGAATTTCAAGAGAGGCAACAATATCTTAAGCTTGTTCTAATCCATATAACCATTCTTGCATCCGGTAAACATGATTTGGGAATAAACACCCAATAAATCCGGAGGGTTATATAAATACGAACCTCTCATCAAAATCAAGGCTAGGAATTATGAAAACAAAAGAATTTGACCAATAAAAGGAATTGTTTTCATAAAAGTTTAAAATACATTTTTCAAAACCAAGAAAGAGACAAATAAAAACACTAAAATTTTTGGTTTAAAAATTATTTTGGCACCCAAGCATTCTTGGTGCCGGATTGGTTAGGGACATGACCCCTATCATTCAAACTCAAAGCCCTAGGGTTATGAACCTTCTTGGGCACATATGGTGCACTAGCACGGTCAAAACAGTATTCATTCAAATGACCCTTTCGATTGCAATTCGTGCAATGAAAAGAGTGAAAAGATTTGTGTTGACCAAGTGAGCGTGCACGAAAATCATTTGCAACTAAAGATTGTCTTTTAAATTTATTTTGCAAATGAGAAACCTTATTAAACAAAGGTGGTTTACTTGAGAAATTTGGCAAGTTTGAACATTTTTTCAAATCATAACAAAACTTAGCCAAATGACCAAATCTACCACAAATATCACATTCAAACACTTGTGGTCTACTAGAAACATTTGGCAAACGTGATTTTCTTTTCAAATCAAAACAATATTCGGCCAAATGACCAAAACGACCACAAAACTCACATTTGTACATATGGGCATGTTTATGATGATCTATACGTGTGTGTACATGTGAGTGTGATGATGAAGCTTGATGGGATGCACAAACATGATTAATCTTGATGGGTTTTTGTGCATTATAACAAAATCTAGCAAGGTGGCCTTTACGACCGCAATTAGTGCATTTATAGACTTTGTTATACATGTGTGCATAGTGTGTAGGTTTCTTAGAAGAGTTTGCATTAGACTTTGCACACAAGTCCATAAGCTTGTTATGATTATCAATGCATGTGTTTAAGGTTGAATCTAAACAAGATATGCGGTTTTTCACATGATTCAACTCATCATTAGATACAACATCATTGATAATAGAAGTAGAGCATGTATGGTTATTCTTAAAAGAATCAAATTCATTTCTAATGCATTCTACTTCTAGCATGGCATTATTTGCATGAGTTAAGCTAGAAATGGATGAGGTCAATTTTTCATTTTCCAAATTTAACATATCATTGTTTTCTTTAAGCATTATATTTTCATTTTCAATGATGTCAAATTTGGACACTAGCTTCTCATGATCGGATTTCAATTCTACATGCTTGCTTTTAAGATCAATAAAATTATTTTGTAATTTTGTATAGGCATGCAATAATTTCTCATATGCACAAGCGAGTTCATTGATGGATATATCACTATCGGATTCTGAATCGCTTACCACACTAGGGCTATCGCCTAGTGGCCGTGTGCATGATGATGCTCCACACTCACTTGAAGAACAATCCTCCAAACTACGTCGGATTTCCTCCAAGTTTCCTTGATGTGCTTCTATGAATTTCCATAAATTGTAAGCACTATCAAAATGAACAAATTTGTTAGAAAAGGATGAGTCAAAGGCATTAAGCAAATATTCTAACAAAAGCTTGTTCATATTAAACATTTTATTATCATGATTGCTCCACTAAACATGCGATGATCATTTTTATTCCACTTGGATTTCTCCATAGTGGGCACAATATAGGCATCATCTATAATTTCCCATAAATCAAAGTGTTTAGATTGAACAAAAAGTTTAAATCTAACACACCATTGGGCATAGGGGAAATTATCTAATCTAGGAGCAATATTAATGGCATAACCTAAACCATGCATATCCATAATATAAAAGGCAAGCAAGATACAAATAAAGCTCAAAATTAGATTAGCACAATAAGCTAACTTGGATCTTTAACTCAAGGCGATTAGACCTTAAATCAAAGAGCACCAAGCTCTGATACCAATTGTTAGACCCTAGAGGGGGGGTGATTAGGGTCTTATGCTAATCTAATCCGATTAAATGCCAATTAAAATTAATTAATAAGTTATCCTAGCAAGTATGAAATACAACAAGAATATAAGCTAGGATAAGCAACATGAACAATGAGATATATCCTATATGATAGAAATATATGCAAGGATATATAAACAACACAAGGGTAAATAAACTAAATAAGATAGTGGATGAAATAAATGAGCAATGCACAATTGGCGATATAAGATAAATGCGAAAACAAATACGCCAAAGACAAACTCAAACAAGCAATATGATCACGGAGTTCGGACCTTCCGTCCTACGTCTCCGCTCCCCACTCCCGGGGAGAAATCCACTATTAACCGGGTAGTGTGCAAATAACAAACTCAAACAAGCAATATGATCACGGAGTTCGGACCTTCCGTCCTACGTCTCCGCTCCCCACTCCCGGGGAGAAATCCACTATTAACCGGGTTTTCTACGTTCACCCGAATAACGTTTACACCTCACACTCGGTTTTCTAGCTAAACAACGATCAACGTCACTCCTCACACTCGGTTTTCTAGTTCACCGAAAACTCGTCAACTGACGCCACTCCTCTTGGGACGATCCCCGACTCTCACCACACACTCTTCACTCGGTGTACAAGTGTATTACAAGGTGAATCTCACAATAAGCACAATATAACAAATGATTGTTCTCTCTAACAATGTGAGAACTCAATTAGGCTCAACTCAATGTCACACTATCCCACAACCTAATTATATAATGTATGCAAATACAATAAGCTCAATGGTTGTGTGTGTAAACAAAGAGTAAATCAAATCAAACTAAACTCAATATAAAACTAGCTTTAATAGAAATGATAATCAACAAATAATTATAGATAAAAGCTAGAGTTGAGTTTAGAAAAACTTCTCTAGATCAAGATGGAGAGATGGAGATATGAGCCCAAACAAGAAGATAATCCCCTCCACTTGTGAAAACCAAAACAACTTAAACCAAACCCTTAAACAAGCTTAAACAAGCTTAAACCCTTCTTCAAACCCTTGTTTTAAAAACTTCTTGGCTTCATAAAAAGAGATGAGTAATGGGGTATTTATACCCACTTGAAATCTCAGCCAAAAACCCCAAAACAGAAAGACCAAAAAGCCC